ATTTACTTACCTTACCTACTTACTAGAGAGCGTACGTGTGTGTGTGTGTGTGTGTGAGAGAGAGAGAGAGAGAGAGAGAGAGGAAATCACCCATTAAAAGGTCGGTGAATATCTAAGTCATCAGAGCCCGAGTGAGTGAGGAAATCACCCATCAAAAGGTCAGTGAATATCTAAATCATCAGAGCCCAATAAAGGAGTGAAACAAGAACCCAAGAAAGAAAAACCCAGAAACCACCTAATCATTTTGAAACCAGGCTCAAATATCTACTGCAGGATCTAAAATTTTAATTCCGAACACCACAACAGCCATCCTCCCTCTCTGAAGTCCATTTTAGGGGTCAAAAACATTAAATGAAATTTGGAGAATCCCCTCGCTTTAGGGGAGAATGGCTTTTCCTGATAATGGAGCTGCCTTCAAGCAAGTAAGAGCTAACTAGACATGGGACTAATTGGCTTCCTTACATGTTGAAACCACACGATGTGAAGTTTTCACTATCCCAGCACTAAAAAAACCCACAGTTGATTGAACTGCATAAAATTTTCCTAAATTCAGCAAGGAATCAAATTTAGTTACATGGTTAAAGTGACATCAATTCTAGCAAACAATAAAAGAGGTTCCAGAAAACCTAATTGTCAGGCATTTCCATTAAAAAGGCATAGTGTCAATATAGTTCAAAATTCAATGCTAAATGATCCATTGTTGCCCCATATCTATAGTGGACAGAGTATGGCCATATAAAAAGCAATTCTTATGAAAATAAAAAATAAAAAACTGTATTTAAATCTCCAATTTAACAAACAACTTATACATGTACTATAAAAACCTGTATTAAAATCTCCAATCAACAAGAAACTTATACATAAATTTGCTCGTTTTTTTAAATCAGCAACTACCAAGAAAAATCTAGTGCAACCAGAGAAGACCCAATTTTCATCTATTATCTTCCCTAAAAAAAAAAGAGAGTGAGAAAGAGAGAGGGAGAAAGAAAGTTTGCATGAAATCAATTATCATTCCGTATTCACCGAAGCAATGCTTGCAGTAAAAGAAATACAGAAAAAACCAGTATATCCACGCAAAGAAAACAAAGGTGCCGCCTTTTCCATTCAGAAACTGAGAAAAAGGAATAGCCCAAAAGACAAATCGTTAGAAATTATCATACTGAAACAAACAATGCAACGGATTGGGTATACAACTAATCATTAACATGCAACCAAAAGTCCATGAACGAGGACAGGGTAAAAGAAAATGAATAAAAACAATATCCTACCTATTTGGAAACCGAAAATGAGATTATTGCCTTGATAAATGCACACCCTATAACCCTAATTTGAGAACATAAAACCAACATCAACAAACCAATTAAACCATCATCTGAAACAAAGGCAGTAAAAGCATCAGTAAATAAAAAGAAAGAACAACAAAAAAAAAGCCTGCCACAAAATAGAGAGAGAAAATCTATTCCAAAAAAATGCCCTCTCTCTCTCTCTCTCTCTCTCTCTCTTCCTTCCTTC